TCAGAGTGTCAACCAAAAAGGGATAGTCCCTCAACAAGACAGGTTGACGCAGTGGCTACAACACTGACAACACTGGGCTCAAACATAAATCCTATTGTGAGAATCGCACAGACCAGGCAGTGTTTCATTCTGTTGAACATGAGGTTGTTATGAGTCAGAGCTGACTTGATAGCACCTAACAACAAAAATTTGGATACATGTATATAGATATATTTGTTGTTAAATGCCATCAAGTCAGTTTTGAATCATAGCAAACCAAGGATCAACTGATGAGTACGGACCACTGACCTTGCAGTTAGTAGTCCAATGCTTATCCTTACAGTGTCCCACCAGGACTCCCTATATAGCTATAGATAATTTTAGTCTATTCTGTTTTATACGCATTTATTTCTCAACTCAGCTACAAGAAGGAAATTGTTATATTTGTATTATAGATGAATAATCCAAGACACCGGGAGATTAAGGTACTGTGCCTATGGTAACATTGAGAGTTAATCAAAATTAAAATGCAGAGCTCTGAGTTCCCAGCCCACTACTCATCCCCTGGAGCAATGCTACTTTGCACTATAAATTGTCCCTATAATTTTAAAAATTTATAATGTGCTCATTGATTTGCATATCTGAGTATGAATTGCAAACATTAAAATTGGCTACAATGCCTCATCACCAATTACTAACAAGAAGCATCTAAAAGGTCAAAGTCATGAAAGACCAAAGTAAACAGATATGTGTGCACCTTTTGCTAAACACCAGGCATACAACCCAACATGTATTCATTATTTTTGTGACACTATCAGTAGTTTAAACCTTGGTTTATTCATAGTGGTTGACTTTGTATTTTAGTCAAATTAGAATAATACTTTTTAAATGATTGGAACATGATTCAGATTTGATATCATCTTTAGATAATATGAAGTATTATGGGAGATACTTGAGATACATCAGTCAGTAATAAGATATAGAGTAATTTGTCCATTGAAAATTGGTACAATTAAAAATCATTAAGTCCGTAATCTACACGAAGGAGTCATAAGGCATTATAACATGTATTAAGCACTGGTAGCGTAGAAGTTACAAATCAGGCTGCGAACCACAAGGTCAGCAGTTCGAAACTACCAGCTGTTCCATGGGAGAAAGATGAGGCTTTCTGCTCCCGTAAAGATTTAGAGCCTCGGAAACCCTGTACAGGGTTGCTATGAGTCAGAAGCGACTCCACAGCACATGACAACAACAACAACAACAAAAATATTCTAGACTCCTGGCGTAGAATCAGCACTGGATTGTGAACCACAAGTTTGGCAATTCAAACCAATTAGCTGATCCTCAGAAACTCATTCCTGACTCAACAGCACATAACAACACTAACAAATACATTTTGACTTTAGAATTTCTTGATTTTTAAGGGAGTTTCTTATATAACCAGAACATTCCACAATTTTCTACCTTCTAATACTGATGTTCTCATACTGTGCCCTATTATGATTTCATTGCTTGGTTTCTCTGAGGTAGTTTCAGTGGAGCAATTCAGGACACAGCATCAGTAAGAATACCCAGAACTCGTTGCCACTGAGTCAGTTCTGACTCATAGCAACTGTGTAGGGACAGAATATTTCTAAGGCTGTAAATCTTTATGGAAACTCACCAGCCGCTCTTAAGAAACCCTATACTGGGTCGCTATGAGTCGGAACCAACTCCACTGCACTTAAGGACAACAACAAATCTTTCTCCCAGCAGCATCTCAGTTTGTAATTGAGTGTTAAACCTCTCAGGGCTCCTCTCAAAAAGAATGGTGGTGGTTGTTGGTGGTTGTGTGTTACTGAGTTGGTTCCAACTCATAGGGACAATGTATAAAGTTTTTACTAAGGCGTGAATCTTTACTGTAGCGGAATGACTCATGCTTCTCTTGTAGAGCAACTTGTAGATTTGAACTGTTGACCTTGCAGTTAGCCCAGCTCATAACCCAATATGCTACCAAGGCTCCTTCAATAAGAATGCTCACTCAAAAATAATTTTAAAAAACAGGGAAAATCTAGGATTTTTTTTAAAAAAACCTTCCCACCTTACTGAGAACTGTAATTAAAGTATGTATGATTCTGCTTATATGCTTGTTACCCAATTCTACCAGTCTTAGAGTTAAAGAAAACCTGATCCCCTACAGTGGATTACAATGGAAAGCATTTGTATGCTCTAGTCAATGATAATAAAGCCTAACTTCTTAGGGAGGGGCTTTTTACCTATGTTATTTGTACCACCTTCTTTTTAAATGCCACTGAGTGGAAAATTAGTGTTGTCCCTCAAAGTGCATAAGATTAATTGTCAGTAATTGAACACAGTTTGGGGGTTAATTATATAAGAATTGATATTAAAAGAATACTACCAGATTGATTGAGTTTTACAGTTTGCATTTCGTTTTCAAATTACATGAGTTGAAAGGCAGTAGCAAGAAACAATAAAAATCTATTCAAAGCTGTTAAAGCAAATTAACATTTACTAGTCCTTTGAAAGACAAATGAGTCAAATGCTGTAACGCAGGGAAAGCAGTAAAAATTATTTTGATATTAACTAGAAACTTAAAACATCAAATGTTCTAAGATGATATGGGTTGACCACATTTTGTGGAGCTGACCTGACTATCCCTGTGCTTATGACAAGTTTAAGATAAAGCAAACCAGGAAATGAGGGTCATTATTTGAAAACATAAGTGAAATATGACTAGACAACTGAAAAAAGCCCATACATTTCATTGCCTCTTATTCTTCGCAATTTTTCTTTAAATTTTCAGCCAAATATGAGTGTCTATTTCCTAAAAGATGTAATAGATGTTCTTCTTTTCCTATTGCTCCCAGAAAGTACAGATAAAGACCCTGGACAGATAAAGACCTGAGGCGCCTAAATTCCACTCTTGCCAAATTGTAAAAAGTCACTGTCTAACCTACCCCCATGAGAAAGCAGGACAAGATGAGGAGAAAGTATAATGAAATGAAAAGCACACTAAACAAAATTACATGAAATCTTTTGTCGACCCAGAAAACAAGGTTTAAGACTACAAAGAATCAAATGAAAGATATAGACCTTAAACTTGAGAAATGGTCTCATATATGCAAATGACTACATAAGGCGGAAAACTGAATAAAATCTTAAATGGTTATAAAGAACAAAGCAAACTGATCAGTAACAATAATCAAAGATATAACAGAAAGAAAAATCAAGATCTAAAGATAAACCAAAGACTAGAGATTAACAGAACTAAATATGTAATGTCCAAAAACTATGGTCAGAGATTAATATTTAGACATGGCCTGGTAAAACTTTTAATTTCTTGATTGAGGAAGGATGCTTGTAAGGAATCTGCAGAAATACCCACACAACACATCTGAAGGGTCCTTCAAACAGTTCACGGAAAGCGTGTATTATAAATAAACTATGCATGGCCGTAAGATGTTTTTGTACCAAAATAAACTCATACTAACATGTCTGAATAGGATTTAATTTGAGGCACTAAAACAGTTAAGACATCATTTTGAACAAAGCCTCTGTCAGAACAACATGAACTCTGCTAAAATTGAAGCATGAATAAACATCAAATTTATGGTGAAACTTGGGTGGAAGAATAGTGAAATCATTAATGCTTTACAAAAAGTTTATGGAGACAAAACTGCACATAAATCAGCAGTTTAGAAATGGATTGACTAGGTTTTTTTTTTTTTTTTAATGTTTTATTGTGAATTATATGATAGTTTACATAAGAGAACTTTAGTTTTACATTCATTCCAACGTACATCATCTCATTGCCATGGGTTCCAATCCCCTCCATGCATCACCAACCAACCAAAGGGTATATCCTAGAATCCCGCGCCCCCCGCCCCCTAGTTTTCAGCCAACAGTCCCTTTCCCTCTCTGGATCCAAAGTCCCCAGCCACTTCATCATTCCACGTCTCATCGTCTCTGTCTCCATCTCAGGCATCTCTGGTTCTCTGGGTAGGGTTCCGCTCTCGGCTCTTCTCCGTTGGTAGTCCCAGAGACCTCCACTCCTAGCCTGTAGAATTAATCACTCCCTTCCTTGTTACAAAACGTCTACCTTTGCATTTCCAACCCTCATAATCCATCCTGATAAGCATTATTCACTACAGTATCACGAGTTACCCATCTGTATTTCCTTTCATCAGCTCCGCCCAGACAGATTGAATGGTACCCACTGGAGATTCTGCCTTCCGCCATGCTCCCTAGCACTAGGTTCCCTCTTGAAAGCTTGTAAGCCAGTCATTTCTTCCCTTTGTAGTCCCCCCCTCCCCATTTGAGTATCCAATGTCCAAGTTGCCCATCTCCGTCCACTCTGTGTGTGGAGGGGGGGATTGACTAGTTTTAAGAAGGGACTAGACTGTTGAAGGAGCCTTGCTGGCATAGTAAGTTACATGTTTGACAGTAAACCTCTGAGTCAGTGGTTTGAATCCACCAGCTACTCTGCAGTAGAGAGATAAGGCTTTCTGTTCCCTTACAGATTTACATTCTCAGAAACCCTATACAGGGTAGCATATGAGTCTCAACCAACTCAGTGGCACATAGCAGCAAAAGCATAGGGTGTGGAAGATGAAGCTCATAGTGGCAGACCAATTAATTTTGTTCATGCCTTAATTGTAGCGTAGTGGTTACAAATTGGGTTGTGAACCGCAAGGTCAGCAGTTCAAAACTACCAGCTATTCTGCGGGAGAAAGATGAGGCTTTCTGCTCCCATAAAGATTTACAGCCTTGGAAACCCCTGGACAGGGTTGCTATGAGTCGGAACTGACTCCACAGCACATAACCACCACCACCACCATGCCTTAATTGAAGAGCCCAACAATTAACAGCAGAAATAATAGCCAACACCTTAGAGGTTTCAACTGGTTCCATTTACACAATTCTTTTGAAAAAAATTAAAGTTGAGCAAACTTTATACTTAATGGGTGCCAAAATGATTGCATCCAGATCAATTGTAGACAAGAGCAGAGCTTCCAATGGAAATGTTAAACAAGTGGGATCAAGATTCTGAAATATTTCCTGGAAGAACTGGAGCAGAAAATGAAACACGGCTATACCAGTATGATCATGATGACAAAAAGAACCATCAGAGCAATGGCTACCAGCACATTGACGTACACCAGTCAAATCAAAAGTCGAGAGCAAAGGTAATGGCAACAGTTTGGGGAATGTTCAAAGCATTTTGCTTGTTGACTCTCTGGAGAGCTAAAGAATGATTTTATCTGCTTATTATGAGAGTGTTTGGAGAAAGTTAGTCAAAGTTGGAAAACTTCACCACAGAGTCCTTTTCCACCACAATGCCCCGTCTCGTTCCTTTCATCATACAAGGGCAATTTTGTGATAATTCCAGTGGGAAATCATTAAGCATCTATCTTACAGTCTTGGTGTGGCTTCTTATGACTTCTTGCTTTAAAAAAAGAGAAAAATTTAAAGTGACCCATATTTATTCTTCAACTAATGGTGCAAAATATATTGTTGTTGGTAAGTGTGGTCAAGCCGGTTCTAACCCAAAATAACTCTATGTAGTGTTTCCGAGGAGTGACTGGTGAGTTTGAACCACTGGCCTTGCAGTTCAAACCAACTTTACAGTCCAGTGCATCAACCCACAGCACCATACCAGGACAGTTCAATTTCCAAGATTGTCAGTTCTTTATAGGGAAGGACCAAATGGCAGGCATCATTGATTGCAAAAGTGCCTTGAACCTGATGAAGTTTATATTGAGAAATAAAGTTTATATTATAATCTTTTAATTTTATTCTTCCATGAACTTGTTAAAGACCTCTTATGTATGTTCAGACTAGTTTGTCTTTGAAGGTAATTAAGTTGACATCTGCAAAAAGTAGGTATCAGAAAGCAACTGGGGAAGTTTCTATAGACTATTTAGGAGACAAGGTAATGTCCTTATAATTTTATAATCAACCAAATTGTCATCCAGGTTCAATAACACCAGAAGATATTGTCAGATACCGAAGGCCACAGAAAATATTAAAGGCTGCTCAAAGTTCCTCTTCTTTTCATTCAAAGCAGCAGTTAGTTGTGTCAAAGGAGATTAGAAATGTGGACTGAAACTATTAATGAAACTGAAAATCATTAATATTGGCATCATGGTTAAAAAATAGATTAGAAAATCAGAAAAATGACATTAAATATTTTGTAATGATGGTACTTCTGACTCTAGATTAAACTAGTGATATGTGCTAGAAAATTTGAGAGTGTAAGAAAAAAACATGAAGTTTCTTGTCTTCCAAAGAAAAAAGAGTCATCACTCATTACGGTATGAAAAAATCATTGAATAATATTATTAATTTCATACATAAGTGAAGTTTTGCCAAAGATAATTTCATACATAAGTGAAGTTTTGCCAAAGATAAAAGTTGCAGCAGTACATCACCAGGGAGCTGTTAAAAATTCAAGTTGGATTCAGAAGATGACTAAGAATGAGGATTATAATTACATAAGTCAGATGGGTCTTGGCTGAAAGTAAAGAATACCAGAAAGATGTTTACTTGTACTTTATTGACTATGCAAAGGAATTCAAACTGTGTGAGCCATAACAAACAATGGATAACATTATGAAAAATGGTTATTTCAGAACATTCAATTCTGCTCACAAGGAACCTGTGCATAGACCAAGAGGCAGTAGTTAGAAAAGGAAAAGTAGAAACTGAATGGTTTAAAATTAGGAAAGATGTGCACCAGGGTTGTATCCTTTCACCATACTTATTCAATCTGTATGATGAACAATAATCCTTGAAACTGGATTATATGAAAAAAAATGTTGCATCAGGTTTGGAGGAAGTCTCATAAACAACCTGCAATATGTAGAGATGACACAACCTTGCTTGCTGAAAACAAAGAGAACTTAACTACTTATGAAGATCACAAAGTACAGCCTTCAGTATGTTGCTGTGGTTGTTAAGTGCTGTTGAATCAGTTCTAACTCAGAGTGACCCTATATAAAAGTTTTCAAGGAGTGACTGATAGGTTTGAACCATCAACATTGCAATTAGCAGTCCAGTGCTTATTCTACACTGCCACAGCAAGACTCAGTATGGATGGCACCACAATGGGGGAAAAAAAGTCCTCACAACTGGACCGAAAAATAACACGATAATAAACGGAAAAATGATTGAAGTTGTCAAATACTGTATTTTGCTTAGACCGACACGCAATGCTCATGGAAGCAGCAGTCAAGAAATCAAATGATCTTCTGCTTATAACTGATTGGAATACTTAAAATGGGGCTACAACGTGCCCAGTGAAGGAAGCTTTCTTCGGAGCCTCTGCATTACATAAGACTATAGGTGGAATCCTGAACAGCATCCAGAACCTTCAGAGGTGAGAAATTTCCCCATGAGAGGACGGGCAGACCAGCCTGGAGTAGCTAGAAGAACAGAAGATACCTCTTGAAGGAAAGACTGACAGGAAAAATACAAAACAATAACGGCAGACTGAACGATTACTACAAGAACAAGCAAGTTGCCCGCCCAGGAGACATCAAGGCAAGGGGTCAGGTCCCCTCAGAGTAAACCCCATTCCAAGACTAAGACTCAATGGGAATACACGTTTGCCACCAACAAGGGGGAAGTGAGGGAAAAACAGTTATGAGGCTGTGAGCTAAGCCCTACAACGTTCAATAGACTCCTGTGAACCCAGGTGAAGACCTGGTTGACCAGCAGTGTGGCAAGACCTGGGGACTCTTGGGCCCAGAGTCAGTGACATAGCCATGGAAGACTAGAGTGGAAAGTGAAGTGTCCAGTGGATAAGAAGAGAGGGCATATCCACAAGAGCACCCACACTTACAGATAATACCCACTTGACCTGGCCTCAATGACTAGATGATCAGAGCGTAACTAGAAGAAGAAAGAAGAGGAAAAAAAGAGTAATCTGATACAATTTGATGAACTTGACCTACATCTATGGATGCTGTAGCTCAAAAGAGGGGACAAATCTTTACGTCGAGGATCATTCCCAACCCCTCCATACACAGAGTAGACAGGGATGGGCAACTTGGACATTGGCTATCCAAAATGGGGGGGGGGGGCAACAAAGGCAAGAAGTGACTGGCTTACAAGCTTTTAAGAGGGAACCTAGATTCATAGGGCCTGGAGGAAGATAGAATCGCTACTGAGTAGTATACAATCTGTCTAGGAGGGACTGATTAAAGGAAATGTGGATAGGTCTCTTGTGATACAATAGTGAATAATTGTTACCAAGACTGACTGTGAAGGTTGTAAACATTAAAGTAGACATTCTGTGGCAAGGAGGGGAGTGATTAACTTTTCAGGCTAGGAGCAGAGGTCCCTGGAACCATGAAGGGAGAATAAAGAGCGGAACCCTGCCCAGAGAGGTAGCGATCCCTGAGATGGAGGCAGAGATGATGACATGGAGAGATGGAGCAGCTGGGGACTCACGACCCAGGGAGGGAGAGGGGCTATGTGCTGATGACAGGCCGGGGAAGGGGTGGGAGTAGGGAGGGAGGAGCAGGCTTATAGGATGTACCCTTTCATTGACTGGTGGAGGGGATTGTAACCATGGCAATGAAACAATGTACGATAGAAAGAATGTAAAACTAATGTTCTCCAATGTAAACTGTCATATAATTCACAATAAGACTTAAAAAAAAAAGAAATCAAATGATGTAATGCATTAGGCAACACTGTTGCCCAAAATCTCTTTAAAGTGTTCAAGAGCACAGATGTCAGTTTGGAACTAAGGTGTACCTGACACAAGCCATAGTATTTTCAGAAGCCTCATATGCATGTGAAAATTGAACACGAATAAGAAAGACTGTAGAAGAATTGATGCATTTGAATTATGGTATTGGAGAAGAATACTGAAAACACTATCACCTGTCAGAAGAACAAACAAATTTGTGCTGGAAGAATTACAGCCAGAACCCTCCTTAGAATCAAGAATGACAAGACAATGTTTCTTGTATTTTGGATATTTTTCCAGGTGGGACTAGACCCTTGAGAATGACATTACCCTTGGAAAAGAGGAAGGTCATCGAAAAAGAAGAAAATGAGATGGAATGACACCATGGTAAGAAAATGGGGCTCAAACATAACAATTGTGCAGTTGGTATAAGATCAAGGATTGTTTCATTCTATTGTGCATAGTATCACAATGAGTTTGAACCAGCTCAATGGCACCCAATAACAACAATAATAAAGTTAATTTAGATTTAATTTTAAGGAAAATGATATATTTTGAATCAAGATGTTTGCCTCACAAATTATTAAAGAATGTAATAGAATACAGAATGTAGTGTCTATCACAAAAGTGCTTTTGCAATCAATAGCAATTTAAAAAATGAATAGCAAAGAAACATAAAATACAAAGAGCTAAACACCTAACAAGGAGTCTTGATGGTACAGTCATTAAGCATTCAGCTGCCAATAAAAGACTGGCAATTTGAACCCACCGTCCACTATAAGAGAGAAAAACCCTAAAATCTGTTTCCATAAACATTGTTGCTATTGTTGTGAAGTGCCGTCGAGTCGGTTCCGACCCATAGCGACCCTGTATAGGGTTTCCGAGGAGCAGCTGGTGAGCTTGAACTGCTGACCTTGCAGTTTAAACTGGTGCATTAACCCATAGTGCCACACCAGGAGTCCATAAAGATTACAACCTAGAAAAACCCTATGTCGTTGTTGTTGTTATGTGCCATGGAGTTGGTTCCGACTCACAGCGACCCTATACAGGGTTTCCGAGGCTGTAAATATTTACGGGAGCAGAAAGCCTCATCTTTCTCCTGAGGGACAGCTGGTAGTTTCGAACTGCTGACCTTGTGGTTCGCAGCCCGATTCGTAACCACTATGAGGCAGTTCTATTTTATCACATGGGGTCACTGTGTGTTGGAATCAGCTGGATGACACCCAACAGAAACACATACTTTATAACAAAAAAACACCAAGCCCATTACCATGAAGTTCATTTTGACTCACAATAACCCTACAGAACAGAGTAGAATGATTCTATAAGGTCTCCAAGGTTGTAATCTTTACTGAAGCAAACTGTCACATTTCTCTTCCACATAGCGACCGCTCAAACCTCTGACCTTTTGGTTAACTAAGCTTTTACCCACTGAGCAATCATGATTCTTATATAACAAGGCACAGCATCTTCTCCTTAAATGATCTTCAGCCCCTGATTGCATTCTTTCAGAGTCCCCTAGTAAAATGGCACCACAGATGAATTTTAACCTGCCCCAGGCCTGTCCTCCATCCTTAACATCAGTGGCAACTGATATTAAGTGCCACATCACAGAGCCAGAATGACAGAATACTTAAGGAAAAAAAACCCCAAAACAACTGTTATGAAACCAAAAATCTGACAGAAACACAATTATGCTAATGTATCTTAACACAGTGCTATCAATTCAGGACAAGTCACCTTGGTAAAAATATTGTTAGGCCATAGTGAATCAAAATCAAAATTAATAGCTTAGAATTGCAATATGTTGAAAATTATGCTATCCAAGGTAATATAACTTTTCTTAGCCAACTCAGAAAAAAATTAAATGGGCAAGAGCAAGGGGAAAAAGTATAATGAATGGACAGATGTGAGCCTTACTACTATTATAACAAAAATCATATTCAGCCAATAACAGAAATTTTATTGATGGTTATTTAATCCATGATTTGCATATCAAAGTAGCATTTCAATTGCTTTGTGCTACTGAGTCAATGCCAACTCACTGCGGCCCTATAAACAGGGTGGTGGTGGCGGTGGTGATGTGCCGT